TGTGCGTACAGGCTAGGCATCATTGTGTGTACAGGCTAGGCATCATTGTGAAGACAGGCTAGGCATCATTGTGCGTACAGGCTAGGCATCATTGTGCGTACAGGCTAGGCTAAGCTACTATGGAGAGTGTGTGTACGAGACCATGGAAGCTGTTTAACAAAGAATGTGCCTCCTATAAACTCCGAATCGTTGACACTACACGTGCATTGTCCTTGTACTTTGTACCGTTCGCCTTTTGGCGTTCTCTGATCTGACACTGGTGAGACTAGGCCATAGACAAGGCTGGCTTTGGTGTAGGTGAGTCAGTTTCAAAGGCGATGCATATATTATATTATCAGAGAATGTTTGCATGCATGTTCACCAAAAGTACCGCGTGTGGTTAATGCGGACACAATTCTTTGCAAAAGGTTTCTCTTCTGTGTTTAAACATCTTAACACCACCTCCTGTTTCATTGCCAGAAAGGGTAAAACCTATTCTTATTTTTCACGCTTTGATACTGGCAAAAGGTATTCCATGACACTGCATAGCTGCGATGTGGATCGTTATTAAATCGAAGGGCACTGTAAGGCATGGTGACGTCTTTGGGGAGGGGGGGGGGGAGGTCTTCATCCAGCAGTGGATTGACCATGGCTGTTTTGTGATGATTGATGATGATGACGAAGCATGTACATGTAAGCAGGGGGAATGCCTACCTTGACAAATAGATTCGTTTAAATTTACGCTGCAAAAAAAGTTCAGGTTAACCCTAAACGGCCCTCCTATTTTAACGATTTAAGGCGATGTTAATGACGAATGCGGTGAACGGGTTTTTTTGTTTGTTTGTATTTTTCCGTAACTTTCAATGTCTGGGCCTCGCTGCGCGCTGCTTCGCACCACTATCCGAGTAGTTAACCTCGCATTCGATGAACTCTCAGAGCCAGGGTGAACATCCGACTCCGACATATTTAATCAATTGGAACGAGTTAAAACCGATGGAAAAACGCAGCTCTGACAACGTGTGTAGTGACGCGGCGCCGACTGCTGTCCAGCAGCGGCTACTGCGGCGGACAGTCAGCGCACTCAACGCCGTCGAGCATATAGCCACGGGCGTGCCGGCAGGGCGGAGGAACTAGGGCAAGGGTCACGGAAGGGAGCTCGCGGGTTCGAGAAGGGAGGCGTGCCAGCAGGGCGGAGGAACTAGGGCAAGGGTCACGGAAGGGAGCTCGCGGGTTCGAGAAGGGAGGCGTGGCCAGGGCGGAGCCAGGCCGCTCCGAGTAGAAATAAAAGCAGCGGAGAGCGGGAGCTCCGGGCTGCCGGGTTCTGGGAGTGGACTCGTCTCACTGGTGGGACAAGGCCGCTACTATACACTATTATATACTACACTATTATACACTACACTATACAACAAGGCCATAATTATAATATTCAAATATGCTCAAAATGACCCCCCCCAATATATTGCTATAAAAAAAATGTCATAATTGCTATGCTATGTAAATTAAAAAAAACCTATTTGCTAAACCTTGGCCACAATATCTGCACTTGTCTTCATATAAATCAATGCGTAGATGTATGTTTATATGATTTTGGTTATGGTTGTACTTTATTAATCCCTAATCTATGCCATTACATACAATGAAACAAGAAATGGTAAAAAAAAAGTTAAAACAGAGCAATGTAATACAATAACACTCTTAGACATTATTGTGAAAAAGAGAGTCCATCCCACGTGTCAGTGAATTTTAAAATATTCTAGGCAGGATATTAGTTTTCAAATTTAGATTATTTTCCAGGTTGGGACCCCCAGACCCCCTGGAAGATTTGCCCCCCCCCCCCCCCCCCCCAGTCTCCATGGCTACGGCCTTGCTATACAATACAATATACACTACATTACTATACACTACACTATACACTACACTACTATACACTACACTATACTACACTATTATACACTACACTATACACTACACTATACAATACATTACTATACACTACTATATACTCCACTATACACTACACTACTATACACTACACTATACTACACTATTATACACGACACTATACACTACACTATACAATACAATATACACTACATTACTATACACAACTTTACACTCCACTATACACTACACTACTCTATACTCCACTATTATACACTACACTACACAGTACACTATACAATATACACTAAATTACTATACACTACTATACACTCCACTATACACTACACGACTATACACTACACTATTATACACTACACTATACACTACACTATACACTACATTACTATGCACTACTATACACTCCACTATACACTACACTACTATACACTACACTATACTACACTATTATACACTACACTATACACTACACTATACAATATACACTACATTACTATACACTACTATACACTCCACTATACACTACATTACTATACACTACACTATACACTACACTATACAATACAATATACACTACATTACTATACACTACTATACACTACACTATACACTACACTATACAATACAATATACACTACATTACTATACACTACTATACACTCCACTATACACTACAATATACACTACATTACTATACACTATACAATACAATATACACTACATTACTATACACTACACTATACACTACACTATACACTACACTACTATACACTACTCTATACTACACTATACACTACACTATACACTACACTACTATACACTACACTATTCTATGCTACACTATTATACACTACACTATATAATACAATATACACTACATTACTATACACTACACTATACACTACACGACTACACACTACACTACCACAAACCTGCCAACCCCTCATCAGTGCCTACCCCTCATCAGTGCCTACCTTTTACAGACCAATTCAGACCTCATTGGCCACCCCGTGCCCCTTATAAATCTCAAAGCTACAATGTCCCCATCACAAGGGATTAACACAAATAGACAAAAACATCATTTTTTGCCCGTGTTGAAACGGCTGTACGCCGTATGGACCTGAGAACTTGATTTTCCTGTTCAATAATACGGGGTTATTATATCTTGTGGGTTGACACGGTTCAATATGCGAATCGACGGATTAACTGAGGGTGAGCTATAAGTGCCACGTGCATAGAGACTAAGATCCCCTTCCCCACCCTATAGCCTCAACGAGACTGTTGGGGCAAGCGCAAGTTAGCGAGTAGCAGCAGCAACATCTGAAGGTCGCCCACTGTGGTACACGAGGGGGGGGGGGGGGGGGGGTGGGTGCTCAGCACCACGCCCGGCCGCCTTTGTCTCCCCCAGTGCCGAAGTTTTCCTGACACACCGCACCAGGGGAGGCCCAGGACCGGCTCAGATAATCGTCAGTTATTGGTCTTGAGTGGGAATCGGATTTGGACTATATATATGTGTTGAACTTTTTTCGCACCTTACGTAGCCAACCATGCACGGTATTGGCGTGAGAAAGGGCCTAATACAGCAGTGTTACTGTTTTACCATAATTCGCAACGGTGTTGTACAAAGATCCTCTGTCTAGCCTTAACAGACTGTTGGGGCAAGCGCAAGTTAGCGAGTAGCACCTATGAAGGCCGGCAGGACGGCACTTTAGGGGTTGGGTGGCCAGCACCACGCCCGGCCGCCTTTGTCTCCCTAATGACGGTGTTAACACACCGCACCAAGTTCGCATGTGTAGATTAAAAAAAAAACACACCCACTGGGTTGAGCACTTTGGATTTTGAGGCCGAGTCGACCCAGAGGGATGCCCAGGACCGGTTCACATAATCGTCACCGGTGGTGGCCGTGAGCAGGAATCGAACCCGGATCGCCGGGTTCGTAGTGCAGCGTAGCGCTAACCACTACACTACCGCTCCCACCACACACACACAGACACGCGCACAGACACAAACACACACAGCGCGCTAACCACTACACTACCGCTCCCCCCCCACACACACACGCACGCGTGCGTCCATAGGTACACATACACGCGCTTGCTGCAGACACACACAACATTCAGGGTGCGTACGGCAGTAAACGACTGAAATAATAAAGCAACGCTGCGCGAAGAACGCCTTAGACCTGCAACACATTTGTATTTCACTTTACCTGCCATCAGCAGGCACACTCCGCTACGCTTCCGCACACGGGTCACATGACAGATGTGACGTCACAGCTCACTTGCGTGCTAAATATATATGGATTATTGCGCTCCCCCCCCCCCCCAAAAAAAAATATATATAAATGTCTATTTTTATAATTTTTGCATGGTATACAGTCTGGAAAGTACCCAAATTTTCAAGTTTGTTGCATGTCGGGAAGTACCTTATACATTTTGAACAGACACACACATTCACACATTTCCCTTTTATATATCTAGATAACTTTAATAGTGCTGTTTGTTGCTGGCCGCTTGGCGTGTTGGGCACTGTGTGTCGTGCGTTTATATGTACCGTACGTGCAGGGTGGCCCAAAAGTCGGTACACACGGGGTTATATTTATTTTAACGAACCACATCGGGTTGCTTAATTTTTTTGTAACGAATATTTAAACTGACCTCCATTAACATTTATGGATGCACCAATTCTCTTTTGGAACGAACTTCAGATTTTTTTTTTAATATGTTGCAGATGCATTCTTTGAACATTCGCCAATTATATTTTTGTCTACCTGCAGTGTTCTTGGTAGAGTTTTGTGAGTATCATCTGTAAAAGGAAGACGAAAAATAAATATCGATGATGATAATAGAAAAAATATTAACTCTGAAGAAGAAAAACTAAAACATTCCATGCCAGTGCAAAAAGACGTGAAAAAAATCCTGCATCCTGACTTTTGGTCCACCTTGTGCAGTACACTATGATATACTTGTAAACAGCCGCTGGGCACAAGGCCCAGGACGCCAAACGGCCAGGAGCAGACAGGTGCTGCTACTCGCTACTAACGGCACTTGCCCCAACAGTCTGCTAAAGTCTATGTTGGTGTGGGTTGGGGGGGAACTTTGTCTTTGTGCCTGGTGCAGCGATGTCCGGAAAGGGTAACGGCGGTACGGTGGTGCTCGCCTACAGCGGAGGGCTGGACACGTCCTGCATCCTGGTGTGGCTCAAAGAGCAAGGGTACGAGGTCATCGCCTTCCTGGTACGGATGCGTCAGCGTCGTCGTCGGCAGCGGCGCTCGGCTGTCATCAATCGCCCATTATTGTCACCGCTGCCTCGTCGGCCTCGTCGTCGTATTCGTCGTGATATTCACGGCTGTAATTGTCATCTTTTGGAGCTGATTTTTATTTTATTTTTTAGATTGTTGTCCTGTCCCCGCACCTGCGATTGTGGTCACGTGTGTTGTGTTTGTGTGTACGTGGGGAGCAGCAGTGCTGGCCTTTATAGGTGCCCACTCACAGCACTTGCCCCGAAGATCCGTTGAGGCTATACGGGGGAGGGGATCTTTGTCTCATCTCCACTTGTTCTATCTGCCCAGGCCAACATTGGGCAGGATGAGGACTTTGAAGCGGCCAGGAAGAAAGCGGAGAGCTTGGGCGCCAGCAAGGTGAGGACGTCCCTGGTTCTGTCCCTCGACGTGGCCCCGTAACCCATGAACACAGTTCGAACTCTGCGTCTAGGTACAGCACACACGGTACAAGCAAATGTAATGTTACGGCTCTTAAGATATTTTTACCAAAAAAAAATTATCGGTTTGGCCGTCAATCGACGAACGTCACTCGCGCGTGTTGCAGAGCGGGATGGAGAGTGCTGCCCCGTGCTGTGTGCGGACCAGTGTGTCACCTTGAAGTGATCTCGGAGGTAGCTCTGTGATATCTGCTTCAGTGGACCATTCTTCAACACCGTTCTCCAAAACTATATATTTATTATAAAAAGAAAAAAACATTTTACGAGGTAAGGCTCACTGGGCCTGTGTAGCTCTTTTTCAGAAGCGACCTGGCCACGAATAATAGCTCAACGAAAGTGGCTCATCACGTGGACATTTATCGTAGCTAAATAATCTAAACGCGTGTTTTTAAACGGGAAGGGAAAAAACCGGAGGACCCGGAGAAAAATCGACGCAACAAGGGAGAGAGACGCATTCAAACTCCAAATATACAGCAGGTGTCAGGGTCCGGATCGAACCCAAAACCTCCTGTATACCAGGCGAGGTATTTAACATCTTGCCACCACGGCGCCCATTGCCATGCGAGAGTTCCGAACGGATTTTGCCTGAAGACGACCGCTTGTGTTGCGATCGAAACGTCGTAGTTTTTTTGTTTGTTATTTTCTTTGAACCTATCTATGTGGCTTAACCGAAAGACCCAAAGAATATGAATTCCTGCAGTCACGAAAGCTTTAAGTCAATATTTGGATTCTTCGCCGCCTGACACTATGCAGCCTCCAGCTCAATTGGTGATAAAAATTTGGGTGAAAACGTTTTCCCCGTATCGCTCATTGTTATTTATTGCTATCGCCGGAACGTAAAACGCTCGCGTCTCCCGCCCCCGCAGGTGTTTGTGGAGGACTTGCGGGAGGAGTTTGTGCGCGAGTTCGTGTGGCCCGCGGTGTGCGCCAACGCCCGCTACGAGTCGCGCTACCTGCTGGGCACGGCGCTGGCGAGGCCCTGCATTGCCCGGCGCCAGGTGCTGATCGCGCGCCGCGAGGGCGCCACGTACGTCTCCCACGGGGCCACCGGCAAGGTGGGCCAGAGGCTGCGCCGCGCGTTGGTCACACGGGCGGAGTGGGCGAGAGACTCCAGAGCCTTGGTCACGGGAGAAGTTGGGTTAGACTCCAGAACCTGGTCATGAGAGAGAGGTTGGGTTAAACTCCAGAGCCTGGTCACAGGAGAGGTTGGGTTAGACTCCAGAGCCTGGTCATGAGAGAGAGGTTGGGTTAGACTCCAGGGCCTGGTCACAGGAGAGGTTGGGTTAGACTCCAGAACCTGGTCATGAGAGAGAGGTTGGGTTAAACTCCAGAGCCTGGTCACAGGAGAGGTTGGGTTAGACTCCAGAGCCTGGTCATGAGAGAGAGGTTGGGTTAGACTCCAGGGCCTGGTCACAGGAGAGGTTGGGTTAGACTCCAGACCCTGGTAACAGGAGATGTTGGGTTAGACTCCAGATCCTGGTCACAGGAGATGTTGGGTTAGACTCCAGGGCCTGGTCACAGGAGATGTTGGGTTAGACTCCAGAACCTGGTCACAGGAGAAGTTGGGTTAGACTCCAGAACCTGGTCATGAGAGATGTTGGGTTAGACTCCAGATCCTGGTCACAGGATATGTTGGGTTAGACTCCAGATCCTGGTCACAGGAGATGTTGGGTCAGACTCCAGAACCTGGTCACAGGAGAGGTTGGGTTAGACTCCAGAACCTGGTCACAGGAGATGTTGGGTTAGACTCCAGATCCTGGTCACAGGAGAGGTTGGGTTAGACTCCTGACCCTGGTCACGGGAGAGGTTGGGTTAGACTCCAGAGCCTGGTCATGAGAGAGAGGTTGGGTTAGACTCCAGAGCCTGGTCACAGGAGAGGTTGGGTTAGACTCCAGAACCTGGTCATGAGAGAGAGGTTGGGTTAGACTCCAGAGCCTGGTCACAGGAGAGGTTGGGTTAGACTCCAGAACCTGGTCACAGGAGATGTTGGGTTAGACTCCAGAACCTGGTCACAGGAGAGGTTGGGTTAGACTCCAGACTGTGGCGTATGAACAGATGAATTCATGGATGTGCGAGAAAACTGATTAAAATGCACTCATGTCGGCTACTTAAATCAGCTGAGAGACAATTGAAATCACACCTTTATAGCAAGGAAAAGCTGGTTAAACATGCTGCAAAAGGTTGAAAAAACATATTCGTCAATGAATGAGTGGAAGAATGAGTTCAAGGAACGAATAAGTGAGTGTTTCGTTCGCCGGTGTCTACGCTTGCAGGGAAACGATCAAATCCGGTTCGAGCTCACCTGCTACGCACTCTACCCAGGGGTCAAGGTGAGATCGTGATCCCAGATGACCTCAGCCTTGGGGTTGTGACCCCAGAGCTCAGGGGTCGTCACCTACAGCCTAGGGGTTGTGACCCCACATCCCAAGGGTTGTAACCGCACAGCTCAGGTGTCGTGACCTACAGCCTAGGAGTTGTGACCCCACATCCCAAGGGTCGTGATCCCATGGCCCAGGGGTCGTTACCCACAACCTAGGAGTTGTGACCCCACAGCCCAGGGGCCATGACCCCATAGGCCAGGGGTTGTGAACCCACAGCCCAGGGATCGTGTGTGCATTTTTGCGGGTGTATATTTGTATCGTTTGATATCCGTTTATTGTTGTTATTTTCCCTATTGTGATCCCATTTGTTTTTTGCGCTCCTCCTTTCCGCAGATCATCGCGCCATGGCGTCTTCCCGAATTTTTCAACCGGTTCCAAGGCCGCAACGACCTCTTTGAGTACGCAAAGGTGGGAACTTGACCTGCACGACCCTGTCCCCCTGGGCGGTGGCTTCAGCTGCACGCAGCTCAGAAGCGCTGGGACCGCCTCGTGATTCCAATCTGAGTTTCCGGCCGCCAGTGTTTGTAAACCGGACTGTCGAGTGCGGGGAGTTGACAATCTCGGCCAGCTCACCGATATGACTCTCATAGAAACCCTTAGAGACCCGCACGCTCGTACAGAGACCCACACACTCGCATAGAGACCCATAGGCTTCCTGAAACCAAACAATTACATCGAATTAGATTTGCACCTGTGCGTAGCGATTTGGCTAAATTCCAGCTCTCTTTTGGGGGTAAAGAAACAATTGCTCCGGCGTGAATGGAACGTAGCAACGTCGCCCACCACCACCACCATCGTCGTCGTCATCGTCGTTGTCATCATCATCAGTCGCTTGCCCACTTGCCGGAGTGTGAAGGTCTCATCGGAGACACCCCCAGGCTGCCCTGTTACTCTGAGCGCGCGCCATCACGCCGAACCCGGTTTTGTTGACGTCGGCTGCCGACGGTGGCCGCACGGTCTCCCCGTCAACCGCGGTCGGTCCCGGGGGTTCGCCACCAGGGTCAGCCCCAGTCCCGCGGTAGAACCGCCACCGCCGCCGTAGTCGATGATGGTGGCGCGAGTGGGGGGGGGGCTCCGGAGCGATCGCCCCAAGTCGTGTCCGCACGGGATGACGTCGGGTCCGAAGAGGGCGAAGTCCCCTGACCATCGATTTCGGTCACCGCCAGGGGAGATGCTGTTAGACGACAGGCCCCCCACTCGCGAAAACGTGGCAGGAACCTTCGTGTCTGGCCACTTCAGTTCCTTGGCCACGGCTAACATCAGCATGCGAGTCGTATCTGAACCGGTTCTGGCCCTCCTTCACAAAGTAGTGACTAACTGGCACGTTTTGTCTCCGTGACAAACCTTACTCATTGACCGTGTGTCGGGTGGTCGCGGATTAACGACACATTTATACTCACGCGAAGGGCCCCCAACTCGTGAAAGCGTGGCAGGACCCTCCAGAAACATTAGTTCATTTGAGACTCGATGAGGCTGTCCTGGGTCGACAAGAATAGTCGTAATAAAAACACGTCCGCTTGTTTTGCCATGCTCCTGTCTTGTCGCAGGGTGAGAGAGTGCTGCCCCCCTATGGGGTGATCTCAGAAATAGTTCTGCGATATCCGCTTCTGCGGGCCACTGCCGGCGCTCTGCTGGAGATCCGTACGAATTCAACGCCTCGTGACGTGACACCGGTGGCACATTTTGGGAACGGAATTGGGGGAAAGGGACCACAGAAGATGCAAATCAAAAATAAAAAGTTTTGAATCCGATTAGACGATCTCTGGATCAACAAGTCGGGGTTTACGTGGCCGGAGAGAAGGCCGGGTGACCCGGAGCTCGGATGTCTGGGCTGACATCAATGAAATTCTGAGTTTGGAATCCAAATTTAGGCCGCTCATGCTTTTAAATCTGGACTCTCGCGTGTAGTCCTAGCAGTCGGTAGCAGCACGAAAAATAAATCCCATGAGCTTGCCCGGCAGCCTCTGTGGAAATTTCTACTCCCTGTAGTGTTGAGCTGTGGCCACGTGGGGTCACTGTGCACACACGCCGAGTGACATGGGAAACACGGCACGTTTAAACTAAACTGTAAATTGTGAGAATAGGTTTTCCCATTTTTTCTGGGAACAAAACAGGTATTAAGATGTTAAAACACCAAACTTAAACCGTTTACAAGGAATAATGTCTGCATTAACCACAATACTTGTGGTCAGAATTCAAACAAAAAACATACTCTGATAATATATGCATTGGCTTTGAAACTTGTAAATTATTTTAATTTTACCAGGGTAAGGTCCCACTGAGCTATACAGCTCTGTTTCAGAAGCGATCTGGCCACAAATAATAACCCAACGAAGCGGTTCATCATCATCACGTGGAAATTCATAGCAGACAAATACTCTAAACGCACGTCGATTCTAAATGTGGAGGGAAAAAACCGGAGGACCCGGAGAAAAATCCACGCGACCACGCGGATAAAACGCAAACTCCAAATATACAACGGGCATCAGGGTGGGAATCTAATCCACGCCCTCCTGTATACCAGGCGAAGTAGTTAAAATCTCGCCACGGTGACACTCGCAGTTGTATCCTGGCAACACCTCGGCAGCCAGTATACAATAGAGCGGCGATACAGATTGGATTAATGCGGCGGCGTCGAGATGTAACTGCAGCTCAAGGCGCTGTGGGGTGTTCATGGTGGTGTACCGATGCGGGCGCCTCCTTCACAGGTGCTCGCTCACAGCACTTGCCCCAACAATCTGTTCAAGGCTGCACGGTGGGGGGGGGGGGGGAGGAATCTTTGTACTGATACGTCGATCCAAAGATTAACATCGACCCGTGAGGCTCACGATACATGCATGGAATCGCTTGTGAAGGTAGAGTTGATTTAACACATTCCTGCGGAGGGAGCTGGTAGGAACGTTAGGTTGCTCGGTCAATGGCCAGGGTCAACGGCGGCGTGGTGTATTTCGCAAATATGCCCGACTGTGAGGGCGGGCACAAGCCGGCGTGAGTAGGTTAAACGTTGAGTTTTATAAGGGCACCACGGGGTGACCAGCCCCTCCCCACCTAGCCCCTCCCCACCCTCGCCAGCCCCTCTTCACCCTCCCCTCCCCACCCATCCCCTCCCCACCCTCCCCTCTCCACCCAGCCCCACCCCTCCCATTTTATCCGGGTGTCCGGATACACGTGGACAGACATCCACAGACATACACAATTAATCCCCTGCCTCCTGTGAATTAATCCCGGTTGGGCTTCCAGTCCACTACGTTTCCTACCAGTAAAAAATGGTTATCACACTGCCCTCGCAATCTGTCTAGCCACTTGAGTTTGATTCCTTGGCCACGGCTAACATCAGCATGCGAGTCATATCTGAACCGGTTCTGGCCCTCCTTCACAAAGTAGTAACTAACTGGCACGTTTTGTCTCCGTGACAAACCTTACTCATTGGCCGTGTGTCGGGTGGTCGCGGGTTATCGACACATTTATACTCACGTGAAGGGCCCCCAACTCGCGAAAGCATGGCAGGACCCTCCAGAAACATTAGTTCATTTGAGACTCGATGAGGCTGTCCTGGGTCTACAAGAATTGTCGTAATAAAAACACATCCGCTTGTTTTGCCATGCTCCTGTCTTGTCGCAGGGTGAGAGAGTGCTGCCCCCCTATGGGGTGATCTCAGAAATAGTTCTGCGATATCCGCTTCTGCGGGCCACTGCCGGCGCTCTGCTGGAGATCCGTACGAATTCAACGCCTCGTGACGTGACACCGGTGGCACATTTTGGGAACGGATTTGGGGGAAAGGGACCACAGAAGATGCAAATCAGAAATAAAAAGTTTTGAATCCGATTGGACGATCTCTGGATCAACAAGTCGGGGTTTACGTGGCCGGAGAGAAGGCCGGGTGACCCGGAGCTCGGATGTCTGGGCTGACATCAATGAAATTCTGAGTTTGGAATCCAAATTTAGGCCGCTCATGCTTTTAAATCTGGACTCTCGCGTGTAGTCCTAGCAGTCGGTAGCAGCACGAAAAATAAATCCCATGAGCTTGCCCGGCAGCCTCTGTGGAAATTTCTACTCCCTGTAGTGTTGAGCTGTGGCCACGTGGGGTCACTGTGCACACACGCCGAGTGAGATGGGAAACACGGCACGTTTAAACTAAACTGTAAATTGTGAGAATAGGTTTTCCCATTTTTTCTGGGAACAAAACAGGTATTAAGATGTTAAAACACCAAACTTAAACCGTTTACAAGGAATAATGTCTGCATTAACCACAATACTTGTGGTCAGAATTCAAACAAAAAACATACTCTGATAATATATGCATTGGCTTTGAAACTTGTAAATTATTTTAATTTTACCAGGGTAAGGTCCCACTGAGCTATACAGCTTTGTTTCAGAAGGGATCTGGCCACAAATAATAACCCAACGAAGCGGTTCATCATCATCACGTGGAAATTCATAGCAGACAAATACTCTAAACGCACGTCGATTCTAAATGTGGAGGGAAAAAACCGGAGGACCCGGAGAAAAATCCACGCGACCACGTGGATAAAACGACCACGTGGATAAAACGCAAACTCCAAATATACAACGGGCATCAGGGTGGGAATCTAACCCACGCCCTCCTGTATACCAGGCGAAGTAGTTAAAATCTCGCCACGGTGACACTCGCAGTTGTATCCTGGCAACACCTCGGCAGCCCGTATACAATAGAGCGGCGATACAGATTGGATTAATGCGGCGGCGTCGAGATGCAACTGCAGCTCAAGGCGCTGTGGGGTGTTCATGGTGGTGTCCCGATGCGGGCGCCTCCTTCACAGGTGCTCGCTCACAGCACTTGTCCCAACAATCTGTTCAAGGCTGCACGGTGGGGGGGGGGGGGAGAAGAATCTTTGTACTGATACGTCGATCCAAAGATTAACATCGACCCGTTAGGCTCGCGATACATGCATGGAATCGCTTGTGAAGGTAGAGTTGATTTAACACATTCCTGCGGAGGGAGCTGGTAGGAACGTTGGGTTGCTCGGTCAATGGCCAGGGTCAACGGCGGCACCACGTGGTGTATTCCGCAAATATGCCCGACTGTGAGGGCGGGCACAAGCCGGCGTGAGTAGGTTAAACGTTGAGTTTTATAAGGGCACCACGGGGTGACCAGCCCCTCCCCACCCAGCCCCACCCCTCCCACCCCCCACCCAGCCCCACCCTCTCCACCCAGCCCCTCCCCACCCTCCCCACCCAGCCCCTCCCCACCCTCCCCACCCTCCCCAGCCCCTCCCCACCCTCCCCTCCCCACCCTCCCCTCCCCACCCATCCCCTCCTCACCCTCCCCTCTCCGTCCAGCCCCACCCTTCCCATTTTATCCGGGTGTCCGGATACACGTGGACAGACATCCACAGACATACACGATTAATCCCTTGCCTCCTGTGAAT